TTATACCCCACATGCCACAATTGCACCACTGACCCACCATTCCATATTTTTTCTTCTTTCTCCCCCTATCTTCTTCTCCCTCCCACTTTCATTTTTCTTGCTTTTTCTTTCAATTTTATTTCTCTTCCATTCACTCTTTTTATGTTTTTTGTTTGTTCGTCACCAACACCGACCACCGTTAGCCATGGAGACGTAGTTCAATGCAATCTAATTATGTAATTCATGTTTGAAAAATAAAATTACCAAACCGCCAATTCAAACCAAAAACCGGCTGGTCGAATCGGTGGCTTACGGTGTGTAAAAATCTGAATCCGTACGGTTCGGTTTCGAGATGATTCCAATTTGTAAACCGACGGTTCGTAACCGGATGGGCAAGTTTAGGTTGGCCAATTATGCGCACATTCAATGGTTGGCCGAATACGCGTATATCCCTCACCCACTCTCCACAAAGGTTGGCCGATTATGCGCGCATCCCTCAGCCACTCTCTCCACAAGAATCACCGATTATGCGCGCATCCCTTAGCCACTCTCTCCACAAGAATCACCGATTATGCGCGCCCCCCTCAAAGTCTAATATGATCATTATACTTTCTGACAATGAAATTTTATCATGCTCTTGCATTAACATGCTCTAATGATCTTTGATGGAATTTTATCATTTATATTTCAATCACTTTAGAAGTAACATAGGGAAACCCATCCGTATATCATTGTTTCTGATCCTCCTGATACAATTCGGCACCTGCACAACCGTCAGTCTGTGCTTCATGCTGCTGTTGATATGATCTTTTGGATTCCTATGGTAACTGTTTTTGTATTTTATTATTATTCTTGCATGCTTGATGGTACTTAAGTGAATACATTATAGTTGCCTAACGTACCAATAGACTTTTATGTTCTTTTTTATTTCCCTGTTACATTATTGCATTAGTGAAAATATTGATATATTTCATGTTTTCATATGTATTAATTGACTGTCCATCTACGAGAATGCTTATCTACTCACACTTTATTGATTGAAAAAGTTGGCATAAGTGAACACACTTTAGTTTTTTCTATGTAGTGCGGATTATTTGAATCTCTTTTGCTGGAAACAATGTAATTTTTTATACCTCAGTATATGTCACATTAACTATACTGAGAAAAAAAAAAAAAAAGTCTAATATAATTTGTATTTATGCACTTACATTATATTTAAACTATTGAGTGCATGAATCTTATATTTGAAAGTTCTCGTAACGCTAAATGACCTATAAAGATTTTCTTAAAAGACCAATTGAGAAGACCGATTGTGCAATGCATCCAAAAGACCAACTAAAAAGACCAATTGGTTGCAGCATGACAATAAATTTTACTTACAGCTCATTCCCTCCTTCTCTTTCCCTCCCTTTCACTCTCCCACTATAATAACCCAAAACATGCACGATTCATTCTTAAAGTAATTCATTGCACCGTCAACATATATACCAGTCGATACCTCAGGTGCTATCCATCGATACATTACTGGCTCGGCCATCATGACCGCTCCTGTGTTCTAGAACTGAGCGCACCCCCAAATCTGTCACTTTATCAACATTGAAACAATTCATTGCGCCTAAGTATGATGGTCAAAACAGAGATGAATAGTATTTCAAAAAAATACGATGAGGAACCTAATACTTAAACAAACTCACATTCGAAGTATCCATGAACAAATTTGGAGTCTTCAAATCCCGATGGATGATGTTATTTTGATGCAGGTAATCCATTCCTTGGCAGAAACTACTCGCAAACTTCAACGACTGTGGGAGATTCAATACGAGACGTTTCTTGTGCAGGTTTTCATATAGTCTCCCAATGGGCATGTATTCTAACAAGAAGATCATACATGACATAATCAACAGACAAAATCGAGCGTCAGACAAGGAAAGTTAATGTAATATAACAATTTAAGCTGTCAAAGCTTGGCATGTTGCAGCAGCCAAAAGAGTGAAGTTTCCCATCGTAGAAAAAACTTAAGCTGTCAAAGCTTGGCATGTTGCAGCAGCTGAAAGAGTGAAGTTTCCCATTGTAGAAAAAACTACAATACCTATAACAATACATAAATGCAGCGTTTTCTTTCAAGCGCCAATGAAGTACACAACATTTTTGTGTTGTACTTATATGCATCTAGGATGTAAAATAAATCGGCTCTAAGTTACTTTCGCGGTAAAAAAAAAAAAAAAAAAAAAAAAAAAAAAAAAACTTATTGCGTAATGATTTTCTTGAATTTCATCTTCGACCACAGAGTGTTGATACTCACAGGTATGCCCATCATTTTCATCCATCTTCATCCAAGTTCACTAGTATATGTTATCGGGTTGATTGACATCGGTGGAGAACGTATAATTTTCTTTTTCTTTTTTGGTGTGTAAATGATCAAAATTTGAATTATGATAACCCCGATAATAAAGGAATGTTACATCTATATTTACATCTCCTTTATGCATAGATTTATGGTTGTCTTATTTATCATATAAGTAAATTACTTATCTATCCCTACACATAATTTTGATCGTTTATTCATTTTCAAATCCTATGACTATGATTGATTCATTATGATTGTGAATTTATAATTCAGGGCCATGGGAACCGATATATATATATAGAGAGAGAGGATGGTTACGGTGCTGATTTGAAAAAAATTAGCATTCACATCAGCACACCTCATATATGCAAACAACACACATTAATATTACACACATCACATGTTATGTATAATAAAGGTATGTGTTATTTTTTAATAATAAGTGTGTTGTATACAAGTATATCATGTGCTAAAATCAATTGTTGTGTGTGTTGTATGAGATTATAGCATGTGTTGTTAGTTCATGTGATGTATTTGTATTATATTAACATATACAATGTATTGTCTGTAGTTATTTTGTATGATGTTGAGACTATAGCATGTGTGTTTTGTTCATGTGTTGTATTTGTATTATATTAACATATACAGTGTGTTGTTTGTAGTAATATTTAGTGTTGTCTAATAAAACACAATGTGTTTGTTTATGTTACATTAATGATGCCTTGTTGTTTCCAATTTATACCCTTGATTAAATATTACTTATTTCGTCTCACATTTTGTGATTTTACGCTGTTGTTTTTGTATGTTTAATATTTCATATTATTTTATTTTTGTAAAAGAATTACACAAGTGGACATACTGTCCGTAAAAATAAGTTTGTGACATAAAAGGTTCTTGTAACGACAATTGTCGGAACAAAAAGGTTTTTTAATTTTAATTAGACTCATTAATTATTTTAATATTAATTATAATTATTTGTATTATATTATAATTACTTTTACTAATATTTTTAACTATTTACTAATCATATTCCTTTTAAATTCTCATGTCTATAATAATTTGAACACGAATATGGGACGGAAAGAGTAGTTTTTAAATTAAAAATTACTCAAATGATTTGAGAATAATTCTTCTAATCTAGAGCAAAAATCAATAATGGTCTCAATCAAATCAATTTTTATCATTTTTAGCCTCATTCAAAAATAATTATCAAAACTAGTCTCATACAAAACATAGATTATTAATTTTGGTCCTACATTTAAAATTTTAAGGAAATGTATTGATGTGGCTATATTTAAAGCTGAGGTGACACCTGATTTGAATCAAACACGGACATGTTATGCAAAATACAACCATGTCATATGACACCCCATATTTGTATTCGTGTTTGAATACGCCCATACAACACCTAGGCACCTCTATCCCTTCTAATTCAAAAATTGATCTTTCTTCTAATAAGAAATTGGAAGGCTGCTGCGCCGTCTAGTTGGTGGCGCCGCCATTGCCCTCATTTTTGGCCTTCCAAATTACAAATTGTAAACAAGAAACGGTCTTAAGAATAGAGTCAATAATCCTAAAATTAATTTAATTTATGGGCTTGATTTGCAACTCACATTTTTTTTACATCCAAATCTTTGGCATTAGGGTACGGACAGTATTAATAGGTTTGTTCTTCGCGAAAAAGTTCACCACCTCTGTAAAAACCATCAGCTATTCATCCACAATCAGCTGCGGCGGCGAGGCGAAAGTTTGATCTTCTTTCCTGTTTGAATTTACTAGAAACATAATTGTTGGAATTTACTATAAACATAATCAAAATTTTGTCTATTCCGCCTTCCTTCCCCCCCCCCCCCCCCCCACCCCCCACCATATATAGCCTCAACCCTCTTAAAATAACGAAAAGAAGAAAGTAAAATTCAAAGAGAGAATAGAGAGAGAAAATAAAAGAAAAAGAAGAAGAAAGAAACGTCAGGAAGTATTCCACAGGCGTAAGAGGCGAGTCTATATTAAACACAAGCGCCTTCACTTTGAACACGACTGTATTTTAACACAATAAAAATATGAGATGTTGTATATTCAAACACGACCGTATTTTGAGTAATGCAGTCGTGTTTGGTCCGAATTAGGTGTCAGACGTCAGCGTATTCTGATAAAATTTTAATATTATGATCAAAATTGATAATTTACATTTATATGAATTTTAATAATTATTATTGAATGAAATTAAAAATGATAAAAATAAATCTGATTGGAACCATTATTGAGTTATACTCTATTATTTAATTGTAAATACACGTTAAACGTGTTCACTGTAACATGTCTGTTTGTATCAATGAGCAATAATATTACTGAAGGAATTTCAAATATTCCGTAGCACATGCGATCAAATCAAATAACATGTGGCATAGCTAGATGATGCTGGAAAAGATCATTTACTTTCAGTATACACTAATTAAGTAATATAATGCATTATTTCAAATCATATACTGTTGTAGCCCAAATTCAAACATTTAAGCCATTATATTTTCACTATTTATTTATTCTTACCGTTACTTTACAATAAATTATTCTTTTTTATAAAAAAATATAACAATTACAATACTAAACTAATTTTTATTTAAAATATCACAATAAATTAACTACATTTACATCATATACAAAATAGGAAAGTGAATTGAAAGAAAACAAAACCGCATTGAATAAAATAAATTTGGTCCATTCCAAAAGAGTCTGAGGAGCAGAAACAAATCTCACCAACATTACAATGAGCAAACAATACAATATGCAATTCTAATTCTACACCAAAAATAAATAAATGAAATAAATCACCCAAAAAAAAAATAGATATAAAATAGAAATAACCAACCATATATAATTAACATAACAAGCCAAACAAATCCTTTACCTGTCTTCCCATCCAGCTTTATCTTATGAAGAATTGAATTGAGAGAGAAGCATAGCATAGCATACCGGCGAGAGAGCGTGTGTTTATATACATAGAGTCAGTCAGTCAGCCGAGCACTTGATGTCTCCTCGGCCTGGCAGGCGAGCCGGGAAAAGAAAGCCGTTTCTTGGCGGAGGCAGCAGATGGGATGGCATTGCCATTGCCATTGCTATTGCCGTTGGGCTCCATCCCAAGAGGGCTCGGCAACTTCGTCTTGTTCTTTGCCGACTGAGTCGGGATCATGTAGCTGGGGACGGACGGCGAGCTCGCCATGCTCTCGTCGTCAGGATCCCTGACGGACGAGCCACCGATGCTGTGCCGTCTGTTACGTTCCGAGTGCACGCTGAACGTGCTTCTCGCGTCCTCTTCTTGGCTTACGATGCTCCCACGCGGGCTCGGGGGCTTCAGCTTCTTGCCTGCTGTTGATTGCTGAGCCAGTGGCTTTGGAATGCCTGCGGTCGCCGCATTATCGGAGTTTAGCTGATGCCGGGCAAAGGACTTGGTAATTTCGCCGCCGATGTTTCCATTGAGATCTTTATCGACAATAATCGCCTGGGATTCCAACGGCTTTGTCGCCATCCATCGTTCCAACCAGCTCCAGCCCCATTGAGGATTCGTCGGGTCCATGAAGAGTAGGTTCGTCGGTCTTGCAGATTTCTTCCATGTTTGCTGTTTTTATCCGAAGATGTTACGAAACAGAAAGTCAGATGCTTCGATTGAATTAATGATTTTCGAACAATGTTAGCAGATAACAGACACGTAAGCAAATCAAAATGCAAGAACTCAAGCAAATACGGAAATGGAAACAATTCCTACTCGTAACAGTATGCATCGAATTTGAACTCATCCGGTAGTTTTCAACAATTTGAGCTATAAATAACAGGCGAATTGCTTCAATTTATGTATTTTGCAACTTGCTCAACGAAAATAAATCAGCATATTCCCGATATGGATTTGGAGTAATAGGGTTATCTGATAACCAAACTCAAGAACAAAATGAAATCAGTTCCCTAATTCAGTTTATAGATCTGTTTCGACATAATTTAAATTTCTATCATTTCAACCTTACTAAAGAAAACATGTGAGCACAGATCATAGATATTAACATACAAAGTACCTGATGAGTGTACGAATAAGCGAGTGCTCGTTCACGCCTCATTGCAGCTTCATATTTGTGTAGTAAGCTCGCCTCAATTTGCTCTTTTGATTGTAGACTATCATCCCATTCATCTCCCATCTGAATCGAACAGCCAGAAGAAAAAAAAAAAAAAAGAAAAAAGGTAAATACGAAAAATATCGCATGCAACTGAATCGAAGAACAAAACACATATTTCACGATAAAATCCTTAGCTCATAGTAATCAACACAAGAAGTATCAATTTTTCAAAATCAATTCAATCCAACAATTTTCATATTTGTCAAAATCAATGGAAAAATGTCTTTGGCCGGTGCAAAGGCGCCACAATGGGCTATTGGGAGCCACATTTTGTCGCTAATCTCAACACTCTAGAAAAATATTAGACTAGGCTCTGTTTATAAGACACATTTGAAATTTTTGACACTATTAATCATCATTAATTTTTTATATTAAAAAAAGTCACATCAAATATTTTTTTCCCCATGCTAACTCTACTATTTTAAAAGTTCTTCAAAACTCCAAAGTCATTACGGATTGATCTATTATTTCAGTAACTTTAAAATGTGGGATCAAGAAAGCAATTTTGATGCATATTCTCAAAAAGGGCAGCAATAAATGCTAACATGGAACCATAATTTAGCTAATGATGCAACAACAGCGCAAAAACATTTCCGTATGATAAGATCAACAAATGGTGTGGACATACTCGTAAGCTTTCGAGCTCTTTTGCACGTTTTTGAAGAAGCTGCCTCTGGAGGGCTCGATTCTCCTCCAGCATCCTTGTCCTTCTCGACTGAACCTGAGACTGCATACGAGATAAATGCTGCATACATTTCAGGGTGTTTGCAGTTTGGCGTTTGACAGTTGGCCCATCGACGAGTGATTTCAGCCGAACTAGCCCCCTCAGAGCTCGCAACGCCCTTCTTGCCTGCGATTAGGATATCAATATTAAACTCTGCAATACATTCGACAGACCTTGTGACTATATTGGAGATCATCAGGCACCTCTTTTTATCGAAAGGATTAGAATTCTAAGAAAATGAACAATGGGAAGAACGAATGTGTGAGGTTAAGTCTGCTCTCATTCTTAGCCGATAATATATATAAAATATAAAAAGACCTCACAGTGATTTCTTATCCTCCTATCGGAACAAATAGATATTCTACTAAAAATATATATATATATCCTTTCAAAACCACAATAACATATTCAAATATAACCAAACACATAATAAATAAACCGACAACACACAACTTATGTTAAATACAATATAAATGCAGCATATTACCTAACACATAACAATAATCCACCCAGCACATATTGTCATTAATCTCAAGGAATATTAGCACACCCAACCCAGATAACACACAAACCGCACAAGCTAATGGTACACATTGCACGTCATGCTAATGATACACATCACATAGCTATGTGTTGTACATGTCATTACAATGAAACGATAACGAGTCTCATTCTACAAAACATTCTAAAATATTCTCAAGAAATATAAAATTTACAATACAACAGGCAAAATGGGATTATTAGTGGTTGAGTTCACGCCATTCAGTCACCACATCTTATTCAATCCGCATACATTCAGCGGTCTAAACCTATCAAATTCCACAAAACAAAATCAAAAATTTCCAAGAAAAAACATACCAAGTAACCCCGGAATGCAGTCTGTAGTTTAATTGCAGCAATTTCTTCCTTGGATTTCCCTGCAAACTGATTCACCGTAGTCAGTCGAACCACCTCTGCCGCTGCCTGAGCAGCCGCAACAGCCGCCTCAGCGGCTGCAGCACTAGCAACCGCAACAGAGTAAGCATGTTTCGTCTGCTCATCGTCCACCTCAACCGATTTCACATCTTCCAGAGGCGGAAGAGGATGAGGATCGGATACTTGGATCGTCTCCGGAATCGGAGATTCTGAAACTGAGGGATTTTCTTTTCCGGAGCTTTTCTCTTTCTGAAAACAAACCAATCACCAAATTGCTGAAAAAATTAATCAAATTACAAAAGAGATTCATCCCTTAATTATATACCTTGGATTTCTTTGCCTTCGAATTTGGGCTTAGAGCCTTCTTCACTGAAGAAAACCAATTCCCTTTCCTCACCATTCTTTTTATTTTACCTTGAATCTGTTCTTTCTTAATCTGAACTCCTGAACTAAAACCTAAATTATAATCCATATATATATATAAGAATCATGCAATGATCAAATCGAAATGCACAATTTCAACAAATTATTTTTTCTCAAATCTGCTCTTAATCTGTGAACTCCTCCTGAACCAAAACCTAAATTATAACGCATATATGTATAATCATCCGACAGAGCTATCATTAAATAGAAATGCAGAATTTCAACAAATGACTGCGGAAACAAAGGTAAATCAATTCAAATTTGTATATATTTTCAGAAGTAATGAATCAGTCAAATCAAAACATTCACATCAATTCCTTTTCCAACACCTTATTCCAAATCTTGTCTAGATATATAGAAAGTAAAAGCACGGATTTGATTCTGTATTTACCGTCCCTAGTTTTCACCTGAGATAGATTTTCAATACTTAAAAAAGTAAATCATCAATCAGTTCTTATGCAAAAACGCTAATTAGAACTAACAATTGCAAAACGAATCAAAAATACAAAGCGCTTCTCTCGTCCAAGCACGCACACATACACAGAAAGACACTCCAATTTCAAGTCCAACAAAAGCAAAAGCACAAATCAATCTATGAAGAGACTCACCTGAAATTTAGAAACTAGATCTCACACAACAACTGATTCGGCGGGCTTCTGCTTTCTCTACGTAATCGCAAATGCGACTAGTCAATCAACAATTGAAGTGGCACAATTTATGATGGAGCATGATTCGAAATCCAATTTAAAAAGAAGAAATTGGAAGTGTGAGTTGAAGGCCTCAATGGGATTGAATTGGATGGAACGAATCCAGATCTCGGCAAATGGTAAATGAGAGAGAGAGAAAAAGAAGAACGTGAAGGGAATCACAATCCACACCCACATTAAACACAGCTAGACTTGAAGGTTGGCTTACGTGGGGACCATTACCGTCGCGTGGACCCATCTTTTTAATTTTATTTAATCAATAATGGTGTTGAATCAGCTGATCAACATTATAAAAACATATCAAATACCACGTTAAAATGTCATTGTGTTAATATATGGGTGTCGGGTATGAATTTTCAGTTGAATTTTAATACTGCCTCCGTTCCCTCTTCGAAGAAGAGTAACATTTGTTGAGGTCCCTTCCCCAGAACAAGAGTAAGATTTGTTTTTTGTTTTTTGTAGGCAAAAGTTTTAATATTAGTATTATATTGGTTTATAATGAAAATGACAAAATAAAAATAATGACATTTGTGTAATATATTGAAAGTTGTAAGGGTATTAATTATGTTAAGTAGATAATACATTTACTAAATAAGGAAATGATATCCTTGTTTTAGAACGGACAAAAATCGAAAATAGTATCCTTGTTATGGGACGGAGGAAGTACTAAAAATTTGAATTGGATTAGTCGTATAATATTATATAAATAAGTGTTGATGTTACAGTCAAATTTGATTCAATATTTTTGAAAAATAAAAATAAAATTCGATGAATAGTAACAATTTAGAAAAATCTCTCGAACAAACACAGTCTACATAAAAACTTTATAAAGAAAAATCTCATCAAATATTATTATTCTCTCAATTTCACATAATTTATTACTTTTTATAATTATTTTTTTAAAAATATAATTATAGACTATAATATCATGTTAAATTGTTATGTTAATTAAATTATTTAGTTATTTTAACCTTAAATTATAATTACTTTAACTATATATTCCCTTCATCGTTCAAATTTATGCTCACTTTCCTTTTTGGATTATGATCGAAAAATATTATTATTTCCTTTTTAAATAAAAAATCATTCTATTTTTGTACTTTTTTTACTACAAAAGAAAAAATTAACAATTATTACCCACTTTATTAAAATCTGTATCCGGTCAAATGAGCATACGTTTGCATGACGGAGGGAGTAATAATTATTTTTACTAATATACTTTTTAATTAATTACTATTTATATTTTACCGAAACTGTGATATATCATTAATAGACCCAAATTATCTAGGAGAGAGAGAGTATAATATTAAATTCAAATTAATTTTTCAAATCAAATATAAAAAAATACACTTATGTAGACTATTCTAGTTTATATATATATATACATATATACACTAGTGTTCGTCGGCGCGCTACGCTGCGCGAGTAATTTATAAGGTAATGAATTTTGATATGTATTGTCAGAGATATAATAGAATTTATTTAAAGTACATAAATATTTTTCATAAGAATGTATATACATAATCTCATGATAATGATCTTTTACATTTCATTTGATCAAGAGATGGATAAGAATGGCATCGTTCATCCTTTGAATTTTGTATAATTGTGCATAGATGAAATAAGGAAGACAACGATCATCATTTCAAATTTTTGTTTGTTATAAAAAGATAAAATACCTGACATCGGTCATTTCGCAATTTTGAATTTATTGTACAAGGATGGAATGAGAATACAATATGTATCCTCTTAAAGTTGGATATGTTTTAAATTTTAGGTATGTTGTACAAGTATGAAATAATCCGTCATCCTCACAATTTTTTTGAAATGCATTCATTTTCTGACTAACTAATCAAACCAAGAAAATTAAATGATAGTGAAGACAATTATTGCATACTATTAGACAATAGTGAACAAGTTGATAACAAAAATCAAATTAAATTAACTTTATAAAGTAATAACATGCACATATAAGAATCACGATCATAGATGTGACATAACTAAAGAATAAACGCTTCAAAAATCTGCATTCTAATTTATTTCTATGTTGGCAACTCAAGTCATTTTGTTCAAGGAGCAACACATATGAATAATTACTAAAATCCCTTGAAAATAAATGAAATATAAACGCATTTTAAATAATTTGAATTTCTAAATAAATATTTTTGATAAAAAAAAAATTATTATAAAAAAAAAATGCAAATAGTCCTAAACTATAAAGAAATTTCATGAGTATAAGAACCGAATAGGGGGCACCATGGTTAGCCGGATCGGCGGAGTCCGGTCCGATTTAGCCAATCCGGAACCGGTTCTAGTTCGACGAAAATATCGGATATTTTAGAAAAACTCTCAACTCCATTCATATCTTATCTAAACAAGCCATTCTACATCTTTCTCTTTACCTTTTCTACTTTCTATTCATACAATTCATACCAGATTCGTCTCAGATTCGACCCAGGTTGGTGAAGAAAGTAGTTAGTTGGAGAACAATGTGGTTTTGGGTATCGCGGTGTTTGAGAATGTGGGTTTTGGAATCGTCGGTGTCGAGAAATAGTTGGTGAAGAAATTTCGCTCTATTGAAGAAAGGTTGTCACCTGCCGCTGCCGTCGGTGTGTTGAAGAAGAACCGCCGTTTGGGGAGGAAGGAAGCGTGAGCTCGAGAATGAAGAAAATCTATGTATTAATTATCCTGTTATTTTAATTAATTTAAATGTTTATAAATATAGTATGAAAATAATTATTTTACTTATTTTTTGGATTGAAATTCATTTTGAATTATTTTGATTAATTTTTTTATTTAATTGATAGGTTTAATTATTTAGAATAATTTGTTTATTTAATTTATAGGTTCAGTTTAATTATTTTGGATTGTATCTAATTTTTATTTAATCTATATAAATTGAGTTCATTAAAATTAATATTTTAGAATAACTGACATGTCACGCGGTCAATCAAATATTTCACCTAATCCGTGATCACAATTTAATGTAATACAGGGGAAGGGATCGTCTCCACAGGGATTGTGTTATTCACTCTTTCGTATTCTAATGCAGTAAATAAAGGGGGATTTTTCTTTTATTACCTAATAAAATAAAATAACAAAGTATTAAATTAATGAGGGAACTGACTATCAAGGGGATGTCTGGCTCAAGGGATGATGCAGTTATGGTACTTGTGTTTTATCATTGATTCAATAAAATTAATTCTTGTCAAAGTATCAATAAATTGGTTATAGTTATCAACAAGCTCTGACAACCAATTTTTCCTTACAGTGTAGGTAATTAAGGTACGACCATTAACTACCCCTAATTAAGCAAATAAACCTAGGTGTGCCCATAAGAATATTGCCTAATCGCATTGCAATCTAGAAAAACCCAATTCAAAACAATTACTACCTAAGAGGAGCAATTAGATTTGATTGTCTAATCCCCGAGAAGAAACTATTCAACCCGGTTGTCACCTATTCAAGTGCGAATACAATTACGGATATCCTACCTGAATTGACTTTAGATTATCAGAGTAATTTAAATATCGGTACCAAAATATTCAATCAATCTAACAATCACAAATGTTGTTCTCAGAATTAGACAAATATTGATAATCAAAAGAACTTTTATAAAGAAAATCAAGAATCTCCAAAACAAAAGAACCAAAACATTATCACCCCTCAAACCAGAAAAGTATCTACTCCATAGTCAAATAACAAAGGACAAAAGAGAAAGATGAAGTCATAGTAGGAGGGGGAAATCTTTTTTGTCGATTTGCTCCTGCGCGATCTATGAATCTGTCAGTCTCCTGCTCCTGTGCGTTTCTGCCCTAGCCGTTCTCCCCCTCTTGAAACGTGTGATCTCTCCTTTTATTTAATGTTTGCCCTAATTATTTTATAGATGGGCTTTTGGGTCTTTAATTAATTTTATTTCTTTTTTCTGCCAATTATGTCAAATTTAATATTTGCCCTCTGCACACAACAAATAAACAATTCGCATATAAATTAGGTAGAATCCAATCAAAATCACCCAATTATCGCATATGATATAAATATAAAACACATGCGATTTCTAACTATCAATTCTCCCCACACCTAGATCATGCTTGCCCTCAAGCATAAATTCGAAAAAAGCCAAAGAAATCGCAGGCAACTCGATATGACAAGAGGATCCAACACAACCAATTCAATCCGACTTTTAACACATCAAGCCAAGTCAACCTCACAAGATTAAGTGTTTTCTTATATGCTCTCTGAAGGAAGTAAATGTATAATTGGCTCAACACTCAGGTAGTGCAACAAAAGATTATCCTATAGGCTTGAGTAAAAATCAAATCTCCCTTACTTAAAATATTCGAATCTAGCATAGAGAATCAAAGGGGCTTTAAATAAGGATTGTAACGGGGCTTATGGTCAGGGTAGGAAAAAGGATATATAAGGGCTAAAATATGTCATAAAAGAACACAATAAGAACACGATGCTAGCACATGAAGAACAAATCGGCATAAACAATCAAATCCTTACTCTATTCACTACCCAAACTTTAATAATGAAATTAAATGAAAATACTTTATTAAGATAATTATTTATTTATTTTTTTTGTATTATTTATTTATTTTTTTTTTGTTTCTTTTTTTTTTTAATTTTTTAATTTTTTATTTATTTTTTTTTGGCTTTTGCCTATATATATATACCTACACTACCCACAGTTATTCCTTCATACTATGAATTATTCGTACCCAAAGTTCGTTTCTAACTAGTGCCGAAGAAATAAAGTGCATCACAACATGGACTTAAAGTAATTCTTTCTAACATAGGGTTCAAATCGGAGAAGGCTCAATCAAAAGAAGGGTATGAGGCTAAAAAACAGTTTATTATAAAAGAAAAAATAGGCTAAGAAGGCTTAAATGGGCTAACTAGGGGAATATATTGTGCTGGGTAATAAAGAAAGGCTTAATGGGTTACCTAATGCCCTTATCATTTTCATAATGCAAGACCCGATAGTTGCAAGTTCAACATGCATAATCACTCAAGTTCTAGGTCATCTAATTGAGCACTACAAATCACACATGAAAGAAATTTCCAAAACCTTGAATATATGCAATTTATTTTCTAATGTGACTTTGGAACATAGGCTCAAATTTTCACAGGGTTCAAACGTCGACTTGACTCAACATATCACCAATCAAATCTCATTAGTCATGCCAAACTAACCTATCACACAAATCACCTTTGAATCACTTCAAACTAATCTAAAAAACATGCAAAAAGACAACAAATCAGGCATAAAAATAGCACAAAAATCTCTCCCCACACCTAAAGTATGCATTGTCCTCAATGTAAAGAAAGCAATAAAAGAAGAGAGGAACTTCCCTGGAGTCCATAGGGGGTGTAGTAGTTGGGAGCTTTGTTAACACCTCTTCATTTGATCGTGATTTTTAGGGAGGCTTGAAGTTCTCCTGAGTCCTGCGAAAACAACTAACCAACGCAAGCCATTTAGAGGAGCGGATGTGGTGATTGGCGATGACTGAGCAGGGAAGGAAGAAGTCGACGGCGCCGGAGGTTGGAGGCGGCGACTAAACCAAACAAAACTATCAAAAGTGTTATTAGCAATTAAATAATAAAAATAAATAAAATTAAAGAAAGCAATTAAATAATTTTGGGTTGTCTCCCAAAAAGCGCTTTTCTTTATAGTCTTTGAGCTAGACTTCGCCTCGCATCAATTCTGAACATCGAAATTGGCAACGGGTGCCAACTTTATAGGATCAAGTGAGGGTCCCTCATGGTATAATTTGAAGCGATGTCTATTGGCCAGACACTTTTTCTTCGGCTTAGAATTTTGATTCTCCTTATGATATTTTTTTGCTGCCAGCAATGGTGATCCCTTGGGAATCCATCTCCACTTTTCGACAATCTTTTTTTTTTTTCTTACTCTCTCCAGTTGGTCTTTTCTCTAACTGTTTTGTCAACACAGTTCTTCGTTTATTCTCATTACCAACTTCACAAGTTTCCTGCACCACAGAATTAATAACATTAATTGCATATAACGATTTAGATTCAACAGGACATTTGATGGGATTAAAAATAGTGAAATGAAATTCTTCTCCATCAAACTCCAAGCTGAGTGTGCCCTTTTTAACATCTATCTTTGTTCCTGCAGTGCACATAAAAGGTCTTCCTAACAAAAGAGGCGGTGGATTAGAGCAGTGCGCATCATGCATATCCAGAATATAAAAATCAACAGGAAAAATCAATTCATTCACTTGAACTAATACATCTTCTATCATACCATCGGGATAAGCATGGGTTCGATCAGCAAGTTGAATAATAATTCCTGTTTCTTTTAAAGGCCCTAGATTTAAAGAGTCGTATATTGATCGAGGCATGACATTAATAGCAGCTCCTAGATCTAACATAGCCTTAGTTATCTCAGTTTTTCCAATCTTACAAGGGATAGAAAACATACCTGGATCACCTGTTTTAGGTGGTACCTTTCTTTTGATAACAGCAGAAACGTTCTCACCCGCTATAATATGCTCGTCCCCTCGCAATTTTCTTTTGGTGGTGCACAGTTCTTTCAAAAACTTTGCGTACTTGGGGATTTGGTTGATAGCTTCCAGGAGTGGGATATTAAGTTCCACCTTCTTGAATATTTCCATCATCTCTTTTCGTTTGTTTGCCTTTTGTGGTTTCTTCAACCTGTCAGGAAACGGAGCTGATTTAGTTTCAGTAGGAGGAACAGAGTCAGGAAGTACATTTTCGTGAAGTTCGGCCTCTTTTTCAATCTTCATCTCAATCTTATCCTCATTCTGTTCCTTCGAGATAGGAGGTGGACCTTCCAATTCCTTTCCGCTACGAAGGGTTATAGCACTCGTATTCCTTGGATTAGGCCGGGAGGAACATTCAATCATCGTATCACTGCAGATAGTGATGGCGCTGACATTTGCTGGATTTGGCTCAGGCTGAGCAGGCCACTTTCCTCTTTCACGTAGGTGTTTCACCTCCTCTGACACTTGATTGATCTGACCTTGTAATTTGTTAACAGTTGACTTTATCTCTTGCTGGAATTGCAGGGTACTGGTAGCCATAGACTTCACCAAGTCTTCCAAAGATGGATTGGAGTTGCTTGTGGGTGCTTGAGGCGGCTGTTTTTCATAGAAACGAGGTTGTTGCATCTGCTGCATAGCTCCAAATGGTTGATGAGCATTACCCTGTTGTGCATTTCCATAATGCAGGTTCGGATGATCTCTCCAGCTTGGATTGTAGGTGTTGGAGTATGGATTGTACGCTGGAGGTCTATTCATACCGTAGTTTGCAGTGTTCACATCCACTGCACGTTCTTCTTGGAGGGTCGGACATGCATCTGTAGGGTGTCCTGCACTCGTGCATATTCCACACACCTTGACCTGGACACTCGTGTTGGATTTTTCCACGACCATCTTCCGAACAAAGCTCGTCAACTCAGAAAGTTGTTGTTGCATCGATTGGATGGCATGCTCACTGTTGTTTCCGCTCATCTGTCCAACATCCCTTGAACCAAATTGCTGCGTGTTTTCAGCCATCCTCGCAATAAGATCCCAAGCTTGTGCCGGCGTCTTATTTACTAGAGCTCCACCACTTGCAGCGTCGATGATGTTCCTGTCCATCAATGATAAACCATCATAAAAATATTGAATCAATAGTTGAGGGGGAATTTGATGTTGTGGACATTTAATGATAAACTTATTAAATCGCTCCCAATATTCATGGAGCGTTTCACCTGATTGTTGTTTGATACCGCATATCTCCTTCCTCAGGATCGCAGCTCTGGAAGCTGGAAAGTACTTCTCCAAAAATTTCTTTTTCATGTCGTTCTACGTGTCGATGCTTCCAGGTGGGAGATAGTAGAGCCAATCCTTTGTAGCATCTTTGAGTGAGAATGGGAAGGCTCTGAGTTTGATCTGTTCATCAGTAACACCTGGTGGTTTCATGCTGGAGCACACCACGTCGAACTCTTGCAAGTGTTTGTGAGGTTCTTCACCTGCAAGTCCATGAAAAGAAGACAATAAATGAATTAATCCAGATTTCAGTTCAAAAGCAATAGTGTTATTCAGAGTTGGAAAGTTAATGCATAAGGGCTGCTGCGCCAAGTCGGGAGCAGCCAACTCCCTTAAAGTGCGGGTATCTTCAGCCATGACAGTCTCCTGATCACTTTCAGAGTCGCTAGAGCTAGAGATTTTGAGGTGGTTCAAAGATTCTGCCAGCTTTGCAACCTGAGCAGCTTTTCGTTGCTTCGCTTCCTTTCGTAGCTTTCACTCAACCTTCTCGATTTCAAGATTAAATATCAGTTCACTTGTACGAGAAGAACGGGGCATAAACAAGAGGATAAATTAAAATAACACAAAAGAGTAAAAAAAGCGCCAATCCCTGGCAACGGCGCCAAAAATTGACCTGTCACGCGGTCAATCAAATATTTCACCTAATCCGTGATCACAATTTAATGTAATACAGGGGAAGGGATCGTCTCTACAGGGATTGTGTTATTCACTCTTTCGTATTCTAATGCAGTAAATAAAGGGGGATTTTTCTTTTATTACCTAATAAAATAAAATAACAAAGCAATTAAATTAATGAGGGAACTGACTATCAAGGGGATGTCTGGCTCAAGGGATGATGCAGTTATGGCACTTGTGTTTTATCATTGATTCAATAAAATTAATTCTTGTCAAAGTATCAATAAATTGGTTATAGTTATCAACAAGCTCTGACAACCAATTTTTCCTTACAGTGTAGGTAATTAAGGTACGACCATTAACTACCCCTAATTAAGCAAATAAACCTAGGTGTGCCCATAAGAATATTGTTATTTTTTTAAAAAATAATAATAAATAATTAAAATACATCAAATTATAAATATAATTAATTTAAATATATATATTATTGAAAAAATATATTATAATTAATAATAGATTAAAATTTAAAATAAATAATATTTCAACTCAATTAGCGCATATATATATAAATGTAAATGCTAAATTTTATATTTTGCATATTGTCATTATACTAATAAATTTATTTTAATAACAAAATGATGTACCTTGTGTCCGTCAATGTCAATATTTCATCTTTATCATCTGTATTACATATAAATAAAAATAATTAGAAAAAAATACCAATAAAATTTTATAAAATATTCAAACTATGTTTATACTAAATATTTATACTTACCATTCAATACCATGTGGAATGTCGTGGAGGCTCAAAATCATTTTCATCTTCCGATCGATTATAGTATGAATATCCTTGTTCTTGATTCATATTGCGTGGATAAGGGGAGATGTTCGAACCATATTGATTTTCTCTAAATGAACCCCTTCCATATACATCAAAACCTCGATATTCTCTATTATCATTGCTTCTGCTTGATGAACCATAATTTTGTCTACGATCATCAATACTACCCGAACCAGATGTAATCCCTCAGTAATATGTTCCAACTGGTTGGTTGGATCCAAATATAGGAAGATTGGTTGAATCCTGAAGATGTTAGATTAGATAAACCGTATTCTGAGTAATAGGGATTATGATATGCATTTGGGTGGTCCCACTCCTGTCTCCCCAATCTATTACTCGAGCTGTGAGAAGAATCTCCATAGGAATAACCTATATTCAAATCTTGCATATGTTCGTGAACTCCAGAATATCTCTTAGTATCTGAAAAATTTGAAGTATCAGCTTCACTTGAAAATTCTGTTAAACTATTTAGAAAATCTCTTTGAGCTTCTATACCAGGACGATATCCATGATCAGTGTCTTGGGTAGCATAATAATTTTCATTTCCTTGAGCCCATCACATATCACTTGAGTATCGGCTATCCCTGTAGCTCCCACCACCACCACCACCACCACCACCACCACCATCATCATCGTCATCATCATCATGATCATCATTGTTATTATTCTTATCTTCACCATTAATTGATGAAGATGAAGATTCCAATATGATTGCTTTTTTTTTTCTTGGCCGTATTTTTGTTTTCTGATTTTTTCTCTTTCGCCTTCTTTTTTCCATCAGCTATAAATTGAGATAAAAGCATATCACTGTCATGATCATTATGCTCACTTTGACCTCCATCTCCACTTTCTTCAATAGCCTCATCCAACCAATTCAAATCACTATCACGAATAAGTGGAGATTCATTTTCTCTGACTCATTCATCTAAAATATCATTTTCATCAAAAATATGATTCAAATCAATTGGGTCATAAAAATCGTCTGTGTCTGTCTTTTGCATAAAATTTTTTACCCGAAGACGCATGTTGTAGTGGACATAGACTAGCTTATGCAATTTCTCAATAGCTAATCTATTCCGAAGTTTAGTATGGATCAAAGTCCATGTACTCCAATTCTTCTCACAACCCGATGATGTGCAAGTTTGACTCAAAACTTTTAATACAATTTTTCTTAAATTAGGGGCTTCATCACCGTACATATTCTACCAGTCAGCTATTAAAAATAAATAAAAAATTATTAATAATGCAACATTTTATAACAAGTATGTTTAAAAATATAATTAAATGATAAATTTCATAATACATACCTGGTAAAGATATAGATACAGCTCTAATAGCAAGTGCACTTCCAAACTCTCCAATTTTGTTAACAAATGTGTTTATCTATAGAAAATATAATGGTAAAATTATTAGAAATTAATATATATCTATATTATTTATAAATTTCACACAATTTACCTCATTCATAGCCTTTACTTGTATATTCAAATATGGCTCGAGTCTTTTGATAACTTCTTTTACTCCTTTTTGAACCTCCGGTGAATCAAATTAACAAGTGCCGGAGTATTGAAGACCAGGATTTAAAAAATAAGCTGCATAAAATGTATATAAAATTAAAAAATAAAACAAACGATTAGCACAGTATAAAAACAAAAAAGTAACAGCAATAGTTACCTGCTGCATGCAAATCTTGATGCAATTGATTATACCATCTTTCATCGATGATATCCCAATATTGTTGAAAATCTTTCACCGTGGTTTTTATTGCCATTTTTGCCCTATCCATTGCCTCATAAATGATAGGTAGTGTAGGTTTTTTATCTTGATCAACTACTTTTAAAACCTTCACTAAGGGTTCCATGACCCCACAAACTCGGCGTATCCGTTTCCAAAATCTTTCATTCAAAATCAAGTCTGATATATCTCCGGCTTCATGTCTTCTCCTCGAGGTATTATTGTACTCAACCCATTCTCTAGAAGTACACATTCTTTTCAAATCGGTTGCATATCTCAGAAGACTTTCCATTGCAACGAACTCGATTGCAAATCTTCTTATGCCTGGTCGCAACAGATCTCGGCCATTCGTATATGTTTTCATCAAATTGACCACTTTATCACTGTTTTATATAAATCCTGTAATTCTTCTGCCTTCTTTTATCGTATCTTTCACTACAATATATCTCCGATGCCTTCTAACATCAAATCAATGCAATGTGCAGCGCAAGGAGACCAAAAAATGTGCTTCATTTTCCTCATCAGTTTTTTCCCAGCCGCCTTCATACTAGCTTCACTATCAGTTACAATTTGTACAATATTGTTAACCCCTACTGATTCCACCACCTTATCCGTTAGGGTGTAGACAAAGTCCGCAGTCTTCGCTTTACTTGTACAATCAACCGAACTGTGATATATCAAATCTCTATCACAGTACACCATAAAATTTATGATTTGATGTTTTGTACGAGTACTCCAACCATCACACATAATTGTACATCCGTATGTTTTCCATTTCTGCTTTAAAGAATCAACATACTGTACAACTTCTTGCATCTCGTCGCTTAAATATTCACCACCAATTTGTTTACCAGTAGGTCCTTTAACTCCAGGTCCAACCGATGCAATCGTGTCAATCATTGTTTGGTAGTAAGGACCACTATCGGCAGCGTGAAATGGTATTGCATTAAAATGAAAAAAAATTCGAAATTGCTCTACCCACTTTTTTTGCATTATCTTTTGAAAATATAATTTTCAAAGACTTATTCTTCGATTGAAACATGTATGAATCAAGTTTTTTTTATGCAAACCTTCTGTCTTTTTCATAGAGGTTTTGAAAAAATTTCTTTTACTTCCTTTTGTATTCGAGCTGTTTCCTCCTACAAAGATAAAAAAAAACATATGATCATATACGGTTGTTATCTCAATAAATATATCAGCTTTAAAATTCAAGCTTGGTAGATCTCCGGATACAGAATGTCTACGCTGCTGCTCCATAAATTCCATATTTCTGCTTTCAGCCATTGCTCTTTTTAAGTGTTTTCTTTCAACAGCATCTATCTTATCTTCATTTATTTCAAAAACTTCATCTTCTTCCTCATCAGAATCATCTTCCAAACGAATGGAATTGTACAATGCTTCTAACTTTTTTTTATGTGCTGCTCGCATACTTTTTCCTTGGATCAAATGTTTTTTTAACAAGTCTCTTATTTCTTTTGGAGCTCTCGTGCATGCTTCAACTTGACCTGTAACATGTGCTATATGTTGTTTTATTTTAGTAATTCCGCCGTGAACAATTTTACCACAATAATTGCATTTTGCTTGTTTTCTATCGTTGCTGATAGGAGTAGCATGATCCCAACCAATATCTCTGTGCGGT